ATGTCCGAAATACAATCTAGAGAATCCATATCATAAAAGACGGGAAGAAAGCGTTAAAGCAAATTTAGATAAATTATGAGCAGCCTGATTTGTCGATCTTCGGATGACTCCCACTTGAATATGCCCAGACTCCTGCATCAAACGTCAAGTTTCCACCAAGTGAAATCCTACTGTCGGCATATCTAGTTGTGTAATGATAAGTTGTCGGACCACGTTCGCAGCATCGCTCTCGATATAGAATCGGAGATAGTTAAGTTCCGTCACCAATCGCAACCCGTAAGTTATTGCCAATGCTTCAGCCATTGCAGCATCACAAATCCCTTGGAGAGAGAAAGTTGACTACAATCCCGTGCAACTATTCCCACTGCTGCTTTGAGTTGGGATGGGTGCATGCAACGTCAACATTAATCTTCAAGGTATCCATTGGAGGTTTCCACAACCTGTCTGCTTAACTGCTTGATGCTGATGCTCCTTGCCAAGCATAGGAAGGTTGATCACCAACATGAGCGGAGAAAATGTCCCCATGTGCAAAGTATTTGACCCCGAACACTCTTGTCATTAAACAATTTGGTGAATTGAGACAACGCCACACTTGCTTTCCGAGGATGGCAATGCTAAATTGTCGAAAATTTCGAAAACCAAGCCCTCCAAGAATCTTCTGTTGGCATATTTTCCCCATGCAAGCAAAGGTCAACCTCTCTCATTAGGACTGCCCGCCCACCAATATGAGCGGAGAATGCTCTCCATATCTGAAATGACCACTTGACCCCCATAGGATAATATATTCTTCGTCCACCCACGAACTTTAGAGATGAACTTATCCCTTATCCATCCAAAAGACACCGATTTATTTCTTCCCACCAGCAAAGGAGCGCCTGGGTAAAACCCTGGATCTGTTGAAGGGGACACCCCAATAATGTCACCCAATACGTGTTACATTTGCGTTGAAGTGTTGGCACCAAAAAACAACGTTGATTTGTTGTAGTTTACAAATTGGCCAGAAGCAGTGCCATAAAGTTGCAACGCCTCTTTGATCCTTCGAAACTCATCAGGCGTATTGCGTAAGAACAAGAGGCAATCATCGGCGTATATCAAGTGCGTGATCCGAGGAGCCTGACGACAAATGCGGAGTCCCCTAATACGGTTGGAACGCTGTTCATGATGTAGCAGGGATGATAAACCTTGCAAGCAGAGAATAAATAGGAAGGGGGACAATGGGTCTCCCAGTCGGATCCCACGTTTCGGTTTGAATTTCTCGGAGAGGCAGCCATTCACACGCACACAGTGTGATACCGACGTAACACAATTCATTACCAAATGAATCCATTCAGCAGCAAATCCAAGCCGAATAAGCATGTGTCTCAGAAATGACCAATCTCCCCGGTCGTAGGCCTTCTCTATATCCAGTTTCAGAACGACTCCCCAACTGACTCTCGGAGGCGCCATTTTCAAATAATACATCATCTCCTGGGCTATGAAGACGTTATCCGTTATGTATCTCCCTGTAACAAAAGCAGCCTACTGCTCATCAATACATACCGCCAAAAATGGCCGAAGGCGATTCACAATCACCTTGGAGATGATTTTATAGACAACATTACATAAGGCAATCGACGATATTATTTCAAATTATCCGACAGTCACTTTCGAAATGAGGACCAAGACTGTCTCATTAACATCAGCAATTGGGGTTCTCCCTTCCAACATGGCAATGCACAGGGTGATTATATTTTCTCAATTGCACATTGATACACTTTAAGGATTGTAAACCAAAAATTCAATAAATCATGTATCATACATTTTACTAATACGTGGTTTCTAATTGAACAACCAGTGAAATAAAATAATTTCATGGACAACATTCAACAAATTCCCATCAATAATTAGTGCAAACACGACATTGAATTATAAAAGTCGTATATAATATATTCCAGCATATAGATAGTACTAACATACTTAAAACTCTTACGGGAAAAAAGAAACCCATATAATTGAAATCATAATGTTCTCAAAATCAAAATAAATTAATACGTAAACATTGTGCAAATTTCAAAGTCGAATACATTACAAAAATTATCGTACAAAAGCAATAAATGTAAATTTAAATTTTAATCCAAAAACTGGAAATCTCGAGTAATTAAAAAAATAAAGAAATCGGATTTCAAAAGATTCAAGATACATTAAATTAATACATAAAACCTTAGAAGTACTTTATGAACAAATAAAATCGAAAAAGATTTTTTTTTTTATTTTCAATGATTTAACGTGATCTGACGATGATGTCATTTATTAGAACCAAACCATAATAAACATAAAATCATATTAAACCATTAAGAATAAAATACTCGGTGCGGAAGCATATCCGGACTAATTAATAAGTTAAAATCCTAGAATTATCTTTAGTTGTGATAATCTAAGAAGATATAGTTTCCTTAACTATAAACTCTCTGATGGAGATAAAAATAAATACAATATTATCTATTTATTGGGATCATAACCCCTTTATATATAGATAATTTAAGAATCTGTTGTTTGTACATATAACTCGACCCCTCATTAAATTATAAATACAATTTTAATAGTATCTATATTTTTATTTTTATTACACTTCTAATACCTTATGACTTTATAACATAATTGATCATTTAATTAATGTCATATTTTATGTTAACAATATACATTATAAATATATACTCATATTTATGGATTTTAATCCAGAATCATACCCATCAATAATGCAGACTAAGAGTTATCGATATTATCAGACTGACATGTCAAGAGTGATAACTTACCATGGAACATTCTTTTTGAATCTAAGAAAAAACCATGTTATCCCATGGAACTGAGCTTCCTAAGCAGTTTGAAAATAAATACAAATTGTTGGAGGAAAGGGTCGAAGCTTTAGAAGATGATGCTGCCTCAGTCGAAAGACTAGGTGTGAAGAGACTTAATTTAGTCTCCAACTTGATCATTCTGTCTGATTTCAAGGTGTCTAATTTTGAGAAACATGATGGCACTAAATGTTCTCTTATCCACCTGACAAACAATGTTTTGTAAGAAGATGAAATATTTTCTAAATGATATCAATTTGTTTATTCATTACTTCTATGCTAGCCTGTTGAACTTGTTGCGGTATGATATAATAAATTGATTAATGAATAAATTTGATCATAAGTTGATTAGGACAATGTATTTTTGGGCAATATAAAAATAGGATAAACTATATCATAGACCACATAACTATAATTCCTTTTCATTTTGACCATCATTTTTGAATTTTTGTCAATTAGGTCACTCAACTATTTAAATGCATTCAATAAGTCCACTTGCCGTTAACATTTAACGGAAGTGCTGACGTGACAGTTAATAAATTGGTATAATCACACATTTGGTCACTGTTACTTATATATTCTATCAATTTAGTCCTAATTTTAATAAATTAAAATAAATTTAATCTTCCAATCAAATTATGTCATGTGTCATCATTCGATTGGAGGATTTAATTTATTTTAATTTAATAATTTTATTTTGCACCAACCAATGGGTGACAAGTGTCACCCTATGGTGGTAAGAAAATTAATGAGATGAAATGAGGAAAGCAAGGATTTGAATATGGGACCATTGGGGAGTTTAAGTAGCAGTTTAACCATTGATCCAGGCAAACCTTTTGGTTCAAAATGAACTACATATGCTATATATATTAAATACTAGTCTAAATTTTTTATTATTTTATATATCTTAACATTAAATATATATATATATATATATATATATATTATTCTTATATTAACTTAAAAATATTTTTATTCTTATTTTAACTTAAAAATATATTTAAAATTTTTATATTAACTTAGAAAATAATTTATTCTTAGCTTATCTTAAATATTTATATTTTATTCTTATAATATTTTAAAATTAAGATAAGAATAAAACATATTTTTAAATTAAAACAAAAACAAAATATACATTTTTAAACTAAAATTAAAAAAATAAAATATACATTTTAAGTTAAAAATAAGAATAAAATATTTAAAAATAAATTATTTAAGTTAAGATATAGAAATTTAAGTTTAGACTAATATACAAAATATATATTATATATAGTCTATCCCAAAACAAGTAATTTGCTTGGTTTAGTCGTCACATGCATTTCTTTCAAACCCAATACCTAGGTTTGATTTCCTTCTCCCTTATTTAAGTAGCTTTAATTTTCTTTCCATCAAAGGATGACACGTGTCATCCTTTGATTGGTGGGAATTAATACTAAAATAAATTAAATCTTCCAGTCAAGCGGCGACACATGTCATGATATTTGGCACCAGTTACACGTGGCATAATCTGATTCAAAGATTAAATTTATTTTAATTTATTAAAATTAGGACCAAATTGATAGAATATATAAGTAACATTGACCAAACGGTAATTATACCAATTTTGCAACACTTTCTTTAAATGTTAACAGCAAGTGACCTAATTGAGTACATTTAAATAGTTGAGTGATATGATTGGCAAAAATTCAAAAGTTATGGTTAAAATGAAAGGGGATTATAGTTAGGTGATCTCTTATATAGTTTACCCTATAAAATATGCTATAAACGTATTTCTAGACGATCAAGTTATTTAAAGAATGAGAATAAAAGTTAACGAAAGCTTTAAGGAATATGATAAGTGACACCTCAAATTTTATTTTCTATGCTGAAAAAGAAATGTCTTCAATATTTGATAGAACTCTTCCAACCCATTTCTTCGATCTAATGCTCGTAAGTTCCATAAACGACTTTAAAATTCTTATGATAATCGGAGATACAATAGAAAATAAGATTTACATTAAGCTAGATTTAGATCCTATGAGCAAAATCTTATAATTATGTTAATTTTGGTCTAAACTTGGAAATACAATAAAAATTCCTATTGCATTCGCATATATTTGGAAATATTATTTGAATATCCAATCCACTTATATTTTTATAAAACAATAACAAAATAAGAAGGGCTACAGTACCACTTGTCGAATCTCAAAAGCCTTCTTCATAAGGAAAAGATCCACCACCGGCGGAGGCGGAGGAAATTGAAAATTCCAAACTCATCATCAATGGGATTATCATATATATAAACCTGCCCGGCTCTCTCTGATTCTTCTCTTTCCTTTTACTCTTTCATTCACAGTATGAAAAATCCAACGGCCAACCCATCCCTTTACTTAGCCTTCAAACATTTCCCTTAAACAAGCTTCCTTTTTCGTTGACATACCCATTTTATATTTTTCTACCCCATTTGGTTGTGGAATCTGATCTGGGTTTTTGTTATTTCGGGGAGGAGAGTGAGAGAAGGGAAGATGTTAAAGTGCATAGCTTGTTCAAAGCAGATAAACAATAACAATGGATCTGTTGGTCGTCAGCAAGATGAAGATACTTTGGAAACTCCTAGGACTAGGCAAGCCATTAAAGCTCTCACGTCTCAGGTACTTTTTACTCACTATATACATATATGAATATGTATATATTTGCTTACACGCTTTTTGTGTTTGTTTCCTGAGATAATGCGGGAAAAATACGACTAGGAATAATTCGACTTTGATGGGTTTAATTTTATTTTTCGGTGGAAAATAACATGAGAATCATCTTTTTCTTCTCTCCTGTTGCTTCCTTAATTTCATTAGCCACCAAACATTGAAATCATGGATCATAATTTTTCTTAAACCTTTATCGAATTTGTTTTTCCTTCTCTGTTTTCAATTTTCAGAAGAAATGGGGAAATCAAATAATCCCTGAAAATGTTTTTCTTTCTACCTTTTCTTTCCCCACCAAAGGCTTTTAGTGACAGATGACTTTTCCTTTTATATAATTTTCAGATCAAGGAAATTGCATTGAAAGCATCAGGAGCTTATAAAAGCTGCAAGCCTTGTTCTGGTTCATCAAACCATAACAGGAACAATGCTGACTCTGATTCGGCACAATTCCATTGCCCATACCGAAGAGCAAGAAGCTCTACTCCCCGAATTTGGGGCAAAGAGATGGAATCGAGACTAAAAGGACTTTCCAGTGAAGACGGTAACCCAACATCAGTTAGTGGCCGTGCAGAATCAGTAGTGTTTATGAAGGAAGATGAGCCTAAGGAATGGGTTGCTCAAGTGGAGCCAGGTGTTTTAATCACTTTCCTTTCATTGCCTGAGGGAGGGAATGATCTGAAACGAATTCGATTCAGGTACTTTATTTTGTTAATGGCATATATTATAGTGAAGGTTATGAGTTGTCTGGATTTGTTCACATGGTTTTTGTTTTTGATATTGAAATGGTAGCCATATTTGTAGAGTCCTTTTTGGTTTAAACATTTCTTATATATATCAAACATCTGCTTTTCAAGTGATTATATTGTTTTGTTTTTGGAATTGTCTCCTTGTGGTTTGGTTGCCGTTCCTGGATCTTAGTTTGATACTGGACGTTTTGACATTATCCTTTGTCACTTCATGTGTGGGTTGCTGTCTCACTAAAATCTCTTGAGAGGCTTTATGTGTGAAAATCTGTATCCCATCATTGAATTAATGAATTGACCCCTGATGCGAGTCTTTCTTTATAGCTTGACCCACTAGGCAGTATAGCTTTTCTTGCATTGCCAGTGATTGTGCAATAATGATGGCAATATATCGTTTTCGCATGGCCAAAAAATCTCAGCTGGAGATAGATTTTTTTTCTGGTACAACCAGGCTAGGCTTTGTGTTTGTTGCATGAACACGTCCCTCCCAACAATGCCATCTCCAAATTTCGAACCTGGGTTCTATTCAGGAGTGTGCATTTTGCCTTTTAATTGCACCTATAACTTGCTGATCAACCGAAGTTCAATGATGGCTAAATTATTTGATCTGTATGTGTTTCTTATTCCTTGGACAGTGGGATGTGATTTGCTATGTCTTCAAGTAGAACTTGAGTTGTCACTATGGTCAAGTTTATTTGATCTTTGTGTAGGCAGTAGACTGATTGATGAATCTGCTTGACAGTAACATTAAAGGATTTAAGAAATGTCTTCTTCACATGCAATGTCGGTACATGCAATTCCCTTTGGTTGTCAGGGAGTTTGCTGGCGAAATTTACATTGCCCTGGTGACAGTGACCATCCAAGTATTTAGTTAATAGAATCGCAAGATATTGTCCTTTTGTACAAGTCATTCCTTGTCAATTAGTAATTCTTTTATTGGCCAAAAATAAAGCCTTTCATTCTATTATCAGTTCTTTTGTACAAGTCATGCCTTCAATTCCTTGTCAATTAGTTGGTGTTCTTTCACAAGAAAATGTCCTTTTGTTCCCCACCTTTCATCTGCATGTTAGGGTGACATATTGATGGGATATTTAGTTTGATATTATTGGACAGTATAGCACAAAGGGCATTTTGGATTTTATATTATCAGTTTAAAACTTGAACATCTATGACTCGGCCAGTTCATTAACAGGTTCCTCTTGATAACATTTTGAAACGAACTGATGTTCTTGATTATCTTGTTAATGGATTCAACTGTAATTATCAAGGCCCTAAGTTGCTGTAGGTCTGTTGATTAACCAATTGTTTATTCTTTTCTACACATTTTTCATTTCTAGGATTTTGAAACTTCAATTACTGCAATTATCAGCTTCTTTTCTTTTTTCATTCTATGGTTTGTTCTTGTTTGCTTGAAGTGCTGAAGTATCCTTTTTGTTAATTTAATTAGTCGTGAAATGTTTAATAAATGGCAAGCTCAAAGGTGGTGGTTTGAGAACCATGACAAGGTCATGGAATTATACAATGTTCAACTTTTCAACCAACAAGCAGTCCCACTTTCAACTCCCCCAAGATCTGAGGATGAAGTAAGCTTCTTCTCTCCATGTGTTTTTAACTTATTTGTTGTCTTTGGCATCATTTGGGGAAAGTCCTAGTTCTTATGTTTTCTAACGGTTCATAAACTTCTTAAGCCTCGTTTTCAAATTACTTCTTCCTCCGCCCCTTACAGGGATCAAGAGTTGAATCAGCAAAGGATAGTCCTGTGACTCCACCCCTGAACAAAGAACAGCCGCGCAACTTTGTGCGGTCAACAGCTTCATCGGATTCCCTAGATCATCAACCAGTGCAACCCCATCAATACTATGACTCATCTGCACTTGCTTCAACACCGAAACTCTCCAGCACTAGTGGAGCAAAGACTGAGATATTATCTGTAGATGGCTCTGTAAGGAGTAGTTCATCAAGAGAGCCGTCCATTAGTAATGCCAGTGACATTGAAACTGAATGGGTCGAGCAGGATGAACCGGGGGTTTACCTCACTATTAGAGCACTTCCAGGTGGCTCTCGAGAGCTTAGACGTGTCCGCTTCAGGTTCGTAATTTGTTTGAGATAGAATATAGATGGAGTAAAGGTCGAAAATGTTTAAATAGTCTCATAAATTCGAACTCTATAATAATAAAGAATCATTTTTGTTTGTTTCTTGATATGCATGAATGATTGATTGCAGCCGAGAAAAGTTTGGAGAAACGCAGGCAAGGATATGGTGGGAAGAAAATAGAGGCAGAATACAACAACACTACTTATTGTGAGATTTAGCAAATCAATGGCACAGTGACAGTTTGTCTTCTTTTAATTTAACCCATCATTGTTACTGTTTAGACGATTCTACTTGCTGCTTTGGCCACAACTAATCACAGATTATTTCTTTTACTTACATGTTTAACTATGTTTATTTGTGATATTTAGCATCAAATAGCAATTTGTCTCCATGGTTTAGCAAATCAATAACCTGTCTTGTGTGGTCTATTCTTCAAAACAGAGGGAGAGGCAAATTCAATGTATGATTTTATTTGCTCAAGTTTCTACACATCGCGATGGATGCTTAGAATTTCTCAATATAAAATGATTGGGTGTTGCAAACATTCTTTCTTCTCTCCATTGATACTATAAATAAAATTTGAATTACCCTAAAAATGATTATAAAAGCACGATATCGACATTCCTATTTTGACATTGATAATACTACAATGGTGTCGATACTCGTGCATATATGTATCGATACAAAAATACTAAAAAAAGATCAAATAATTTCTATTTATTCATGGTATCGATATTTTTATCCGATATTGATATTAAAACAATTGGAAAAAGTTATTTATTAATATCTAATATTTATATCTTATTATAAGATATCGATACTTATCTACATAAATCAGATTTATTAAATCTCAAGAAATCAATGAAGAACATCTTATACCTTAAAATAACATTGAAAAAACACTTTTAAACTTTTTTTTAATCAAGACACTTCTAATTCTTAAAATATACCAACAATTAGCTGTAACACTAACTTACCATAACAATTTCATGCCTATTTGCAACATAAATACACCAAGTTCAATCAAATCAATATATATATACGCTCCAACCTGTATTATAGCAAAATATCATAAAACACCTTACCTAACAACATAACACTTGTACATAAAGCTGAGTTTAAAATAAAAAAAATTACATCAAAAGAAGAACAGAGATATGGCAGGGATTAATGAACGTTGACAACCATAGTCATTGTGCAATTAATAGCAGGGATATGGGTATGTTGTTCGCTATTATCTGTTAAAAAATATGAAAGCGGTGACACAATGTGGTGTTTTGGTTTACCTACACTGATCGGGAGGATATTGTAGTGCAAAGTCTTACTCCTTGACAACAAGATGGAAGAGACCTGCTATGGGATGGGTAAAGGCTAATGCTGATGGTACTGTGGAAGGGTTGAGTGTTGCGTGATGATCTTGATAAATGGTTGTTTGGTTTTGCTCGAAGCTTTGGAGTTTGTTCGGCTCTGACTGCAGAATTATGGGCTATTCATGATATATTGTTATATGTCTGGGGGTTTGGTTTCAGAAGGGTCGAACTGAAAATAGATTGTCCGAAGGCGGTAAAAATTCCCAACCAGCTATCTAATGTCGACGAGGGTAGCGTGATTTTTTACTTCGATCCGTGAGTTGTTAAACATAGATTGAAAAACAGAGATTAGTCTCATTTGTCGAGAGACTAACCTGGTTGTTGATAAGTTTGCTACGATAGCTAGAGGTTATCCGATAGGGATGACTCTTCACCACAGTCTTCCTCCTGAAGTGGCTGCATTAGTTGATGGAGATCAAACCTACATGTGCTAGCCTTGTGTTTATTTCTGCATTATAAAAAAAGAAAAAAAATCAAAGATAACTTGAGGCCGCTATATAAAATCTCAATTGAATCTTGTACTTTCAACCTCCTACCAAGACAACATAATAAACTTATGAAAATTTATTGAGATAATAAAAACTATCAAAACAAATATACCATAATATTTATGAAACTCAAAACAAATTATTCTCTTCGTGAGCGTTCAATGTCTAATGGTTGAGAGTTATCTATGAATATATATTGCCTTGTACTTACCTCATATTAATAAAAAAAATATTTTCTTCGTCCCGATTAAATTGATATATGTTAATTTTTGATGTAATTTTAAAAAGAAAAAATATTATTAGATTTCTCATATAAAATAACTAAAATAATAATTTAGTTATAATGAATTTAATTTTTTTATTATAAAAAATAGAAGTTATAAAAAATAGAAGGTAGAAAAAATTGATTTTAAATAGTTGTCCAATTTTTTAAAGTGAATATTTGAATTATACAATTTAAAATACAAAGTGATGCAAGCCAAGTGTGTGTAGGGATTTATAAGTGCTTGTGAAAGAAAATATTAAACACTTATTGTTCTTTTCGGCTCTGAAATCATCTTCTCTCTCGAGGCGAGGTTCATTACCGCCTCTTCTTTTATTTTCTTTTTATCTTAATGGAAATGCCTACTTTCCTTTTCAAGTAGAAAAATATTTCCTCCCTGCAAATTAAGAGCAGAAAAGAAGAGAAAGACAGACAGACCAAACAATATCATTCAAATCCCATAAAGCTATGGATAAATTTGCAAGAGAAGATGTGTATAGAAACAGGAGAAAAAACCCATCTTTCTCTTCAACAAAGAAACTTCCACGAGGAAGAAGCATGGCATTGGCCGTGGCACTTCATTGAAAGAAGAAGAAACCAAACGTGCTAGCATGATCGAGGAATGGATGGACTGCAATCAAATGAGTTTGATTATATTGATCCATGGCCATGTTGTTGAACTCCAGTTCCAGCTCTTATGGTTCTAGTTGCAGTGCTAGGTTTTCCTCCTCAGATTCAGATTCCTTTTATCCTACTGCAAAATCATGGTCATTACACTACTCACATGCCTATTTATAGGGCTTAGTAGTAAGAATAAGAGAGGATATAACTGCCAATTACTTGTGTATCATAAACTTACACATAACCACTATTTATAGGGCTTCAATCATCAATGGTTACAAGAAAATGATTGGGGCATATAAATGGTGCAAGGTTAACATAATAGACATCCATATTTAATACTAGTATTCATAACGTTTCTCTTGGATGTCTTAAAATATGTCTTAAAATCTTACAATAAAAATTCTCATAGGACAAAAATCCAACGAAATAAAAAGAATATATTGTATTTTAATACACATGACATGTTGTCTCATTAAAAATCTTTTTAGAAAAACACAGTGGGATAAAATCATGTATAGGGTGTGACAGCCTATGCCGACCTTGACGTTATGACTGAATATTAACACCCACATCTGTCACCAAAGTAACTTTGAAAATGATTCATTATTTAATTTCGAGTATTAAGCTATTTAACAAATGGACTCTTCTTATTCTTGAATTAACAATTTGACCATTTCATCGTACAACATAGTTATCTATAAAATATGATCTTTCAAACGTATAATTTAATGTTGTATCACCATCACGTGAGAGATGCATAAAACATGCTAAAATACCAAATAAATGCAGATACTGAACAATCTCATGCTACAGTCCGATCAAATATAAGTACAAAGAAATCATAAAGAACATAACAGGGAACAAAATAGAGACTCAAACCTTTCAGATAGAGAAAAAGGGATGAACTAAAAACTCAATATAGGTTGAAAGTGGAAACCAGTAAACATAGTGTTAAGCAAAAAAAAAACCTATGAAAATTTATTAGAACATACATATATAAATATTTCTAGATACCAAATTGATAATGAGATTGTCAAATATTATTTGACCCTACTCAAAATGTTCATGGAGAAAATGATAAATTCAATATCATAATTCCCACTAAAGTAGTCAGGGAAACCCAATTCCCTGCTCATTGGATGGAAATGGGGTCAAAAAAATTTAATACTCTTCTTTTCAATATAATGAGTATGTAAATTTTCTTATTTTTTTCTTCTTCTTTTAATATATTGAACTATATTAAATATCTAATCTAAAATAATGGGTGTGCATTTGGCCTCCTATGTGGCCATATGCATCCGCCCCTGCTCACAACCATGGCTTAATTGAGTTCCTTGTAATGACCAAAAACATGCATTTGGGCATGTTTGCTCAGATAAAAAAATAGAGTGAATCTTAAGTAGAGTGTGTAATGTGAGGCATGGACAGATATAAGATTTTATGTTAGGGTGAACTTATAAAACTTTAAGAAATAAAAACAAATAATCAATAGAAAATATAAAGAAAATACCTAAATTATACAAGAATTTGAAATTGTCAAGGGGACAATCGCCCACGCAGGCCCCCTTGGTCCATCCTGGGAAATGACAAGGTTTATTCAACTTCGCACCCAACTACAACCAGGAGATTTTGTAACCCCCTAGACCCGGCCTGTATGTTAGGCCTAAATTTAGGCGTCCACATAGCACATTAAGAATTTTTTTTTCATAATTAAAACAATGTTAAAATCCATAAGAAAGATTCATATGATAAACATATATGTATACATATGTCAGAAAACTGTGTAAAATATATACATATCAAATACCACAGAAAGCCGTATAAAACATTTACGAAACAAAATATCGATAATACAGATATATCAAGATGGTATCAAAACACATGTCACCAAAATATAACAGAAAGATATATAGAAATATACAGTGGTATAAAATTAGGAGAAGTCGACCCTCCTGATGTCAAGTTTGCTAGCCTAGTATGCTATTATCTGAAAAGGTTAAAATTTACGGAATAAGTTAAAAAGCTCAGTGTACTCCTTACGGTGTATAAAAACATACATATAAAATATTTCAGTAAAATCGATTTATTAAACATGTTTTAAAAACACGAACACTACCCTCGTCCGATCACCAGAATGTTTAGGTTCCCCAGAACCATACATCAACCTTTACACCCAGTAAGGACTTACAATGTCCACAATGCAGAGGAGCCTACAGTATCGACTTACCCTAAGCACAAAGCCGAGGAGCATGCGGTAAGGACTTACTATGAGTACAAAGTCGAGGAGCCTGCGGAAAGCGGTAAGGTCTTACAAGTCGTATACTATGCCTGAGACACTTCCTCCAGTAAACCCCCAACGACAGAAATAACATGTATGTAGTTGAATGAAAATGGTAGTTTAATCCATTAAAATATGAAATATTTCAATTTCAGAAATCAGATACAAAAATATGGTAATCCAGAGATCATAATAGAAATAAATCAGATATCAGATAAACTGTGTTCAGAAAATCAGGTATTGTGTCATAAAAATATTCAGTATTATCATAAATATCAAACAGTTCAGACAGATAGTTGAAAACAATAA